TCATACCTTCTCCAGTTTGTGCTCTATGAACATCAATTCAGCCACACTAGACTTCTTCTCAGAATGCTGAGCCCTCTTACTTGTGAGCCTTTGTGTGTGCTCTTTCTGCTGCTAGGACCCTTCTTCATCTGAGGACCAGACTGCCTGAACTCCTTTCCTTGAGTTTGGGGAGCGCATATGCATTGATGCAGCAGCTCTGGAATTTGCTTGTCTCCATTTCCCCATAAGGCCTGAAGCCTTCTGAAGACCTGGTTCTTTCCATCCCCTTTACCCCCATGTCATTCAGTCCTATCACAGGGCTTTGTACACAGTAGGTCCCAGGTTAGTACTTGGCGATATTTTGTTTACTTGCCACAAGCATTAAAGCCAAACAGTCAAGACATGAGACATCAGAGCTCAACATCTGTCATGGATGTCTGCTAGGCATTGTAATCATACATAGGCTGACTCCCTGCGCAAATTAAGAAATTCTATAAATAATATGTTTGAAAATGAGAATTTTTTTTTTAAGGAGTATGATCCATAGTAGCCCAGAAATGAATCAGCTTAATATCTAGTCATGGCTAGATGGTTTAGTAGATTATGGCTTATATTATATACTGAAAAGGATACAATAGAACACTGACAAATATAATGAATATAAAGACTAAGTAGCAATGTGGAAAAATGATTATAATTAGTGCCAATTGAAAAAAAAGGAGAACGGCCTATTGCATACTTGCTACTCTTGTGACTAAATAATGTTTATGTGCGTGTGTTATGCATAGTGGGGGTGGAGTTCTGGGAAAGAGTGGAAAAACACAGAGAAAAGTTCAAGATGGTGGGGATTTTTTTTTAACCTTTCAAAATTGGTTCTAACATTGACTTCATATCTTCTTTTTTCCCCCAATAAGAAGAATATTAAAAGAATATTTTAAAACTAATCTGATACTCCAAAATGTTAAAATGATTCTCCCTGGGTGGTAGGATTTAGGAGAATTTTAATGATTTCTTAATAATTTCTGTATTGCTTATTTTTCCCCACTGAATATTTAACATTTATAATTAGATAAAAACAATACTGCAAATATTTACTTTCTTCCCCCTCTCACTTTGGGCAGATATACTTGCTTCCCCATTGATCTTGGGCATGGTCGTGTGACTGGCTTTGGCCAATGCGCTGATGGTGGACATGATGTAGCAAATGTATTTGTGTGGGGGGCCTTGTCCTCTTGCACTTCCACCATTACCATGAAAAGAATACTTTCTGGATAGATTGCCCAACCAAGAAAAATGAGACACATGGAACAGACCTAGACCCAACCTTTGGCCTGGAGCTAAGACCAACAGAGTCCAGCCTAAATAGCTGATCCTAGACAACCCACAGATGTGTGAGTGAGAATGGGGATTGTTTTAAGTCACTGAGACTTGAGGTGGTTTGTACAGCATTATTTTGATAATAACTTAGTGATAAATCTTCATTTTCAATGCTAACTTTCTAGGCAAAATATTTCTCTTTTATTCTGGTTTCATCTTCCATCTTATAAATGGTGTAACACAGAAGTGGTCCAGGCTTGGAGTGACTGGATTGATTTGTAGCTTGGAGAAGCATGTTAACCTGGGGAGACCTTTTAAGAACACTGGAACCTCAAAGGCTTGATATAGGTGACAAAATGACACTAAAACTGTAGTGATGTCCCTACCGCCAACAGCATTATTAACATGTCGGTGAGATTCATGAATCCCAACTACCATTATGCCCAATTTGGCTTCCACATCAACTCTATGTTATCGCCATTCTTGTGGTCATTTCTCAGGACTACAGTTCACTGCCAAAAAGTGACAGCGGGGTGGGGTGGGAAATACAGGTTTCCCTGGCTATCTAAACACAGAGTGTTCTGAAAGTTCGAACTAGGCCACTTTGCTTTTCTGAAAGATCTACATTAGTCTGGTAACAGCTTTTTTTTTTTTTTTTTTGTAAAAGTGAACATCTTCTTTAGATTTCTTTTAGTTGGCAAGAAAAGGGGATGAATATAGGTCTTCTGTAAAAGCAAAGTGGCATTAAAACAAACTTTCAGAAACAAGGGGATACCTGTAACCCAAACCCAAACCAACAATGCAGAGCTGCAGTATCTCACTTAATTTGTTGTTGCAAGTAGCAGATTAAAAAATGTTACAGTTCAAATCCCGACTGTCAGGACTTCAGGATGGGACCAGCTGCTGGGCTGGTTTCTCAGTGGATCTATCTCTTTCTCAGAGATTTAGCACCCTACAGAGTGAGCTGTTCTGGTGCTCTGGTGAGAGTTTGTGAGAGGCCATTCTCTCTGGGAGAAACCTAAAGTGACACCCTTCACCTCAGCCTCTAGAGGCCCAGGTGTGGGGTAAGAAGGACACGCACAGGGACATGGACCAGCCTGGCTCGCTGCCGCCACTGCGCTGCAGGAGCTGTGTGTCAATCTACTTTTCGTCTGGTTTGAATCCAACAGAGAGTCCAAAGCATGTTCACAGCCCTTAGATCATGAAACACATGGCCTTGCCTGAGATTGTTCCTACCATCATTTACAGAGTTTATGGGTAGGTGGCTTGTTCAAGATGACAATGAAAGGAAGTGATTCTTTCACCTGTTAGCTCTGTGACCTTATTAGGCAGTCTACTCAACTTCTCTGGGTATCTGTCTGTACAGTGAAGCCATGTTGCAATAACACCTACCTCGGAGGGCTTTTATAAATATTGAGGAAAGCAGTGCTTTGGTGTTTTTTAGCTATTTGCGCAAAACAAAACAAAAAGACCCCCGAAATCTTGGATTACAATATTTGGTACATACATAGTACAAATTCACTGAAGAAAAATAAGAGAAAATGTTACCCAGTGTTCTACAATCCAAACACACCAGTGTTAACGTACTGATCCGTAACCTTCCTATTATTTTCTTTGCTTGCACACACAGATGCACTGATATATTCACAAACCTGGTTCATACATATTATTTTATAAACTGTTTTTGCCCCCTAACAGATTCTTAATATATTTCTTGCTAAGAAATATGTCTACAACATGTGTATTAGTGGTAGCATAACATTTCATTTTATGGATATAATATATTTTTACATGTCTAATCCCTGGTTTTTTAATTTTTAATTTCTTTTCTAATTTCTGCTCTTATAAGTAACTCTTTGATGAATATTCATGTACATAGATTCTTGAGCAAATGACTGATCAGTTTTAGAGGTAAACTTCCAGATGCAGAATTATTAAAACCACAAACATTTCCATGCCACTTTATATAGTCTAATTGCCTTTTAGAGAAATTCTAACAACTTAAACACTCTTGGTGGTGAAAGAACATGTCCATATTTTTGCTGAAACTAGGCCTTTATCACTTTTTAAACTTTATCTGTTTGACAGATGATAAATGATATTCCATTGTTGTTTTAATTTGTATTTCTTTGATTACTATTAAAGATGAAACTATGTTTATATTTGTTAGTTATGTTCTTTATTAAATTAAAAAAATTATTATTGACATGCAGGAACTGTTATTGGGGGATTTAAATATTGCCTTATATGTTATAAATATTGTTCTCATTTTTCATTTGTCTTTTAACTTTATGGATTTTTTGACATTGTGTACATTTGAAAATGTTATATAACGAAATCTAGTAATATTTGGAATATTTGGAATAGTAATCTGGAATACTTAAAATAATCTTTCTCAGGAGGGCATACGGCTGTTATGTTTTCTGAGTCTTTGAAAAACTGAGAATAAGTCTCTGGGGCCCTCATGTAAGAACAAAAATATCTTGGCAGTCTAAGCACTTTTGACACACAATCCTCAAAATCCTGTAGAGGCCATTCCACTATTTTCTAAAAGTTAGCATCGGAGAGAGATAACTCTGATGCCGAAAGGGTTTTTCCTCCTAGTAAGTATGCTGGGTTTTTTTTGTTGTTGTTGGGCAGAATGACTGCAAGATTTTTCTTTATATTTGGAATTAAAAAAAAAAAGGAAGATGTGGTAAAGAGAGTCTATTTTACACTTGGACCTGGTGCTCAGTGCGGGTTTGGGATTGAAGACAAGTATTCCCTCAACTCAAGAGAATTATCTTTTATTGTTGATTTGGTCACTACTTCCTCTCTGCCTGATGTGTTCTCTTTTCTGGGTTTTCTATTCAATCTCCAGAATCCATCCTGCATGCCTCTTCTCTGAGTTCCAGAATTTCCCCAGCTGGAGGACTGCTTTGCTCATCTTCTTTTTTGCATTGCTAACTTGCTTGTCAGTGTTGCCACTGGATTTTCACATCAGTTGATTATCGTTCTTTCTCCCCAAAGTAGTCTTTCCCGATATCAGATTGCTCCTTTTTCATGGGTACAACCTCCTGTCGACTATTGTTGAGAACCTGAATTTAGTATTTTACAAAATGTCACTCTGTCTCCTACAGCATTTTTTTTTTTCAAAAAAGCACTCTTCTTTTGAGATCATGAGCATTTTTTATGTGTCCAGATGTTTCCCTGCTTGCTCATCTTTACAAAGGGAAGTCTATATCTGTTCAGTTTTGGGACTTGGGATAGGTTCAGTTGGAGTGTTTAGGTGTATGTTCAATTTCTCTAGTCTGAGAAGAAGGGATCAAGGAAGAATTTATAATTCTGGTATAATTCCTGATTTCTCTGGATCAGAGTTTCAGGGTTCTTGGAGAGGGAGAAGGGAACCATGCCTGAGGTGGCCGTATGACAAGCTTCCCCATTGTGTCCAAGTCTCCTTTCCACCTGGCAGGGGCACTATCCCCCTTCTCTAATGGACAGGATGGTTCTTGTGATGAGCCTGTTGTGACAATGCCCTCACATTTCTTACCACATTGTTTGAAATGAATTGAGCTGAAATGGCTGTGGATGTGCCTCTTATAACAGATTTTGCTGAGGAAGGAAATGTGCACCTGTTTGGAGTTGGCATCGCATTTAGAGAGAGCAAGGGGGGACCAAACACAAAGGCTGGCACATCCGGGATAATTACTGCCAAAATTACTTACCAAAGACATCTGTGAAGCTGTGATCCATTCGGGAGAGATGCGAAAATGAGCCCCAGCTGAGTCTCCCAGCAAAATGATTCCCCTGGGCTGTGAACCTGGGTGGCACAATTTATTTGCATTATTTATACACTCAAGTAGTTTGGAGCCTCCAGATTGGGTGGTTAGGAGAGTAGATACCATGGTGTGTATTCCATGCACAGAGCGTCATAACAGTGATGCATTGCCACTTTTCGAGTGTTGGGGAGTGAGGGAGATCACGTTTAGGAGCTGAATGAGATTTCTAGGCCATCGAAACTGCTAGCTAAGCTGTACAGATGCAGGTGTGTTTCCTAGCTCAGCATAAAACAAACTGCCGTGCAACCTCATGAGTGAATGATGGATGAATCAATGAATCAAAACTTTTTCTGAACTCAGAAATATGCCCTAAGTTTTGGTTTTGGAAATCACTCTCTTGAATTCTGTTATAATTCACTTTAAGAATTTGTGATCTCATGGAACAATTTTGACTTTTCAAAGATGTTATGGTCTTTTAAAGCCCTTAATCCATATACACAAAAGCCCTGGGTGGAAAATTCTGGCTGATTAACGGGAGATGAACATGAAGGTCTCTGCGAAGCCCTATCTGGAGGTTAGGAATCACTTAATCTGCCTCTGAGGCCCATCTACACAATTCATTTACCCATGGGTGATGCATGTACTCTTCTAAATCCCTTAAGATCCTGAAAGAATCAACTGATGCCTCCCAGGGACAGAGAGGGGCGCCTGTTTCCCCTAGCCCCAAGTCCCCCAAATCATGCTGGAGGTTGGTCTAGCCTCATTTCAGTGGCTCCCTAACCTGGGCCTCTGTGATAGTTAGCACTTGGCCACGTACATGGGGATGGAGGCGGCCCAGGACATCCACGAGGGGTTGGGATGGGGCAAGTCCAAGAGGCTTCCCATGATGATCCTAGATCCTCATACCAGGATCTTTCGCTTAGATCTGAGTTTGTTTATTTATTTGTTTATCAGTCATTTGTTCATTCTTTTATTCATCCAACAAGCATTTCCAAACTGCATACCTATGCACTGCACTGGATCTGTGCATTTTCTACTCCCCTCCTACCCCTCTGAGAGTTTAAAGACAATTAGACTAAGTTGATTGAGGGCAGGGACTGTATCACATCTGCCCAGGACAACTCAGAGCCAAGTATAGCCCTTGGTGTATAATAGGAATAGGCATTTAGGAAATATCTGTCAAATGAATGAATAAATGAATGAATGAATGATTGAAATGCTTTTCAGTGTTAGGGAAAATACTGCCTAAATGTAAAAAGTGATGCTACCAGAGGGTCTTGTCTGAGACCCTTTGGGTATCACCAGGCACATATTTTCAGTAGTGTGTGGGTGATCATAGGTTTCTCTTAACAGTACTGGCAGCTCAGATGTCTGTGGCGTTTGGGCATTCAGAATACAGAGCTTTTGCTCAGCTGTTTTCGGGAACTCCCAATGGCTATAACTTGGAGGTCTCCCTCAAGTCACCCAGATGTGAATCTTTAGCCCAGTTGCCTGCCGCAGGGACTCAGTCAGCACAAGCCCAGATGTCTGACCTTGTCGGGTATTGAGAAGGACATGGAGAAAGAGGAAACAAGAGCACCTCTATTTGTGTTCCTATTTGGAGAAGTGCTAGGTTTCCACTACCTTGCGCTCTCTCCTGCCACCTTTTCTGGCATTCTCAATCAAGTTTCCAATCCCCACATAAAGGAGGCAGTAAGACAAAATCAGTTTCGCTTTTTATAGGTTCTGCCTCCATTTTCTACAGGCCTTTTCATGTCTTTTTCCGATTTTTCATGAAAATAAGCGGAAATCGGTCAACTTTAAGCTGTAGCATCAGGCACTTGCTCACTTGGATGGTCTGTTCTCTTCAATCTGACTCAGACAAGCAAAGAGGGTCCCTATTGTGATAAGCACATTAACTCTATAATTCATACCTTCACAGAACTTCTTCTCATACGGAATTCCATCTTTTGGATCAACACCCTTTAAAAGAGAAATGATGAGATTAGCAGTTTGTTTTTAAATGTATGAGACACTTACACTGAGGCTTTCCCTAATGGCTTTAAAAGTACAAAGGCAAGTCAGTGGATAAAACCCATTAAAGTCTCTTGAGCCCTTAATTCAACATAGCAACACTGTGTAAGTTGGGCTTTATGGAGCTGGGGCAGGAATAAGGAGAGATCCAGAAGCCCAACCATCTGGTCCAGAGGATGTGGGGCAGTGTCTGGAGTGCTGGCAGTGTCCCCGCGAGGGGGCGCTGTGGGCCCACTGAGTTACAGGGACACAAGGTCAGAGTGTGTTCCTCAGTCTCTGAGCTGGGGAGCTCTAAGAGCCCTGACATCTCCACTCCCTAAGGACTGATGCTTCCAGAGAAGCGATTCTCAACAGGGCTGGTTTCCCCCCACCCCTACCCCAAGAGACATTTGGCAAAGTCTAGAGACATTTTTGGTTGTGACAACAGGGGGAGGGGGAGTGACTGGCATCAAGTGGGTAGAGAGGCCAGGGATTCTGCTGCACATCCTGCAATTTCCAAGGGACCTGAATTTCCAAGACTCCAGGAATTTGTTGGGATTTCTTCTATTGTTCTAATTAACTATTTACTTTCATACTTGATTTCGTATTTGTAATTTGGTATTCTTTTTCTTCAGGAGGACCCTCAAATCATATTTTAGCTCAAGACCCCACAAAACGTGGGTCTGCTGCCATTGTTGTGTTTGGTTGGGCTTTATTCCCTTTCTCTTCCTGAAAGCTGCAAATCTCTTGTTCACGGAGAGCTGGAGCTCCAGCATTAAATGCCTCGAGATGTAGATAGTGGGGTAACTACAGGGTAATTTCCACCCTGCCTGACTAGCTTTATGGAATAGAAAGAAAATGGCTGCTGCGAAGAGGTGGCAGCAAGAGGTTTGCTCCAACAGCTGTCTGGGTCGCTGTAAAACTTCGCTAACAGCACCCTTCATTTAATTTCGCCTGATTCACCACAGAATAAAGGGGTTAGATGCGGGTGACTTCAAGGGGCTGTGACTAACAGACCCTCAACTCTCATTACATCCCTACCATCCATCATGTGAGATCAGAGTCTTTACCCCTCTTCCAATTTGCAGAAAAAGGGTGCTTTCATCTGTCATCTTCTTCCTTAGAACTGACTAAAGCAAATAAGCTTTTAAGGATGGCAGAACCTCAGAGAACGGGGCTGGATTTGAATCTAGTTGCTTACCCAAATGCCATTACAGTTTGAATCCTCATGTACATCCCAGTTGTCTGGCCTAAGAAGAAAACACCAATATTGGTTTTTAGCATATACTTCTTGCCCCGTGAATGTTAGGTGAATGAATGAATGAACGAATGAACACGTGCTGTGTGAAGTGTCACTGATGGACAGCAGGTTCTTCAAGGAGGAGTGCCACTCATGACTGTCAATGGCACACAGAAGCCTCCACTTGGCCTCTGCCATTATCTTGGTTTTGGATATTTTCTGGGCACCGTGGACTAATTCCAGTGGCCTCTATTCACGGACTGTATTGTGGAATGGAGCTGGTGAGCAGAGTGAATGAATCTGTAGCCCACTGAGGCCATTAAAATTGCGCTCTACACTCCCAAACATCTGGGGTTCTGAATGCTGCAGCCCTGCAGTCACGGCTAAGATGAAGGTTGGCATGTCCATTTTCTGAAGTCCGAGATGTGGCTGGCTGAAGGTCAGCCTGGGACTAAAATGTGACATGCGGTCCACTCACGGGAGCCCCGTGCTCACTCCTCACTCAGTCCTGCGTGTAGACCTTGTGCAGGAGGCTGGACACAAGTCCACCATAACCTGGGGACTCGCGTGTTCCTCTTGCTAGACTGGAAGCTCTGCGAGGGGAGGCCCCACTTCCATTTTGTTAACCACTGACATGAGGCAGAGTGCTTGGCAATGAGCAAGTGCTCCATGAGCATTTCCTGGACAAATGATGAATGAATGCTGTTCTTTCTTCACTGAGCTTTACTTCAGTGGGGACACGGAGGTCCCTTCTCTCTTTAAGTACCAATCCCCTAGGCTGGGGTTGGAATGATGCCTCCTACCTCCTTTTTAGAAGGTAATTTCCCAAGTCAGTGATGAGAAGAGACGTACCTTCTGCCCGGGTATGCCATCTTGTTGCTGTCATTGCAGTCTCTCCCTCGCCAGTGGTAGCCCCTCAGCGTCTGGAATTGAAACGCACACAGAGGAAGCGTTCATTTCCGCCCTTGTTATCCACGAGGAAGGGCAGTCAGAGCTGTCCCAGGGGTACTGACGTGTGTAATTCTTAATTCCAATAAAATCTAGGAACACTAGAGATTACTAAGAAAATTAAGATTAATATGCTGAGGCATGCTGTGTGAGGTAAAATGTAATGGAGTCCCAGCGCCAATGCCAGGTGGAAGTGTGTGTGCATGTGAGTGTGTGTATATGTGCTGTTGGGTGTGTGCCTGTGTGCGGGTGCACGGGAGTGTATGCATGTGAGTGTGTAGGTATGTGAGCATGTGTGCACTCACAGGTGTGGTTATGTGCATGCATGCTGTACGTACATGTGCGTGTGCATATGTGCATCTGTATATGCATGCATGCGTGTGTGTGTGTGTGTGTATACTTCCACAAATGTTCCTGAACTCTCTGAACTTTATTAGTCATCAATCTTCTTAGCCTCTAAAACAGTCGGTTTATTTTGTCAAATGATTACTCATTGTACTGGATAATTTAAAAATCTCTAGCAAAACTGGCTAATTATGTGGATTTATTATATAATTGAACTGTCTTGATCCTTGATTTGAAAGAATCAAGAGTCATGATAATATCAATGTTTTTATTTCCCCCATTCCCAGGTTGAATATCTGAGATCCCACCAACTTTGGGGAGTTACATCTGCCACTTGCTTGTTTGCTTTTGCAGAGAACATCCTGACATCTTACTGCTCTAAATCAAACATGTGCATACACATAAACACAACACACACACACTCTAAAAGTAGGTTTAAGAATTTCCAAAATAATTCTCAACACCTTCAGATAACTGAAATACCCAGCTGGGAATGGCTTCAGGAAACAAAAACAATCTCAGCCTAAAGACCCACTCTGACGGTTATTATTATTACGATGCCAAAAAGTCCACAAAAATCATGGAATGGTGTATTATCAAATTATTAATACATTCAAATGGAATTCAGTCTTGTCTTACTAAAGGAAAGATATTTGTAGAAAGCGATACAATATTTAGTGAACATCTGGTTACTCTTAACAATACTTACTGGGAAAATGCTGTATTTGTCTGAATCTCCATCTTTGAATGGCACAGAATTTTCTATAGTTCTAGAGAAAAGAAAACAAAACAGCTGGTGAGCTAAGAAAAAAAAGGAACCGTGTTTGTGAAAACAAACAGAGACATTTCAGATACAGCTATGTTGAGTATATGTGATAGGAGACCATTCTAAAAAGGAAATGAAGCGCCTCCATGGTATGGAAGAGTGCCAGCCAAACTTTGCCAGTCTCTGCTCTCCACCTAATTAGAACCATTTTCTCTCTGATATTAATCTGGCCCATATGGGGAAGTGAAATAATCACATCCACATTTTAGAGAACATAGGATATTGATGTTGAGATGCCCAGAAAAGAAGGAGACTGCATTTTTGGTCCAATGAGCTCAGCACTACAGATTGAATTTGTGCCATTTTACACATTCTGTGATGGAAGTCTTTTCTTAAAATCTACTCTTTTAAACCACTAACTCTAAGAATCTTGAGGCACTTGAGCTGGCAACGTTCACTCCCATTCATGAGCCTGGAAAACCAAAGACTCAGATGTGACTGATGACCAAGCAAATACATGATAAGCCACAGACCCCTCCCTCGAGGGAGGCTCTCTCCCTGTGTCCTCACTACAAAACTTTTCCCAGCTCCTGCATGGCAAACACTGCTTTCCCTCTAAGAAAATCTCTTATGAGGTAGCAGGCTAGTGCCATCATATGGCAGGGTGAGGCTATTTTCAGAGCCTAGAATGTAGAGAGTAACATGAACCTTTACAGGATTTATTAAATGGTCTTTTGAATCAAGAGCATTCCAGCAGTTGTGAGAGCCTCAAGGCAAATGGATTCAGTAAGAGCCAGCATGGAGCCTAACTGGTGTCTTGGAGCCTATCTTACTAACTCTGGGATGGTGGACCCACCAGAAGTCTAGGTCATAAGCTTCTCTGGGGATGGCCTCTCCTATAAAACTAGGTAGTTTCCCCCCATGTACATATTTGACCTCTTGGACAACCAGTGTAGTGTTCTAGGTGAGAAAAGGAGGAAAGACACACACACACACACACACACACACACGGTACAGACCCAAACAATCATATTTTCAGCCTGGAAAATGTGCTAGGTGAAAGGTCCCACCTAGTACTCCAAAGCTATCTCCCACCCTTGCCATCCCGAGGATGGGAGTTTGAAGGAACAATGATGGGAGTTTGTCTCTAGAACTGGAAAGTGAGTTCATTAAATTAATGAACAAATGAAGCAGATGAATTAATGAACAGATGAAGCAAATTAATAAGCCCATGAAGATCTGCTTATTTTACAGGCTCAAAGTAACTAACCCAAACCATACATTCTAGACACAGTACGGTAGATTGGTCATCCAAAGTAGCATAAACTACAATTTACATAAACTCCACAATCCCTTATTCATAGTCTCCAAACCAAAGAGTGCTAAAAACTGAGTAGTTGTTTAACTTTGCAGAAAACTCATTTGGTGGTAAAACTAGATCTGAACCGATATAAGGCAATTCATCCGCTTTACCCTATTTAGTGTGAATATTTATACATTTCACTGCTGAAATATAAATGTGTTTGATCAGAAGGTACTGAGAGTGTTAGGTGATCTATGGTCACCATATGTTGATTTCCTTAAAATCTGGAAAATTCTGAATTCCTGATCACATCTGGCTCCAAGGTTGTAGATAAGACATTGTTAATGTTTATTAACATTACTTCTGCCAAATTGTATCTAAATGTGATACTTCATGTACCTTATAGATGTCTAGTTGTATGCTGAAACATTCATTCACTCATTCATTCATTCATTCATTCCACAGCCATTTCTGGAATCCCTGCTGTGTGCCAGACACCATGTTAGATATTAGGGATGAATATAAGATACATTCCAGTGCTAGAGGAGCTTCATGGGGGCAAACAACTCATCAATAGGCAACTACAATGCTACGGAGAAAATGCTATAAAGGGTTGTGCACCATGAGCAAAAACACTTCTAATGCTATACCGGGAAGAAGGTAATCTTAAGTTTAAATTTAAAGGATGAGAAAGCATTTTCAAGGCATGTAATTGGGTGAGGAATGTTCTAGTAGGAAAGAAAATCATGAGAAGCCTCTTAACATAGCTCTGGGTTCTGAAATTAGACTCTCTGGGTTTGAATCCCAATGTGCTGTCTACTTGCTATATAACCTTGGGCAGACTCTGCTTTCTCATTTGTAAAATGGGGCCAATATTAGTACCCACTTCCTAGGGCTGTTGTAAAGACTAAGTTGGTTCTTCCATGGGAAGCATAAAGACCTGTGCCAAGCATGTGGTAAACACTCACAAAACATTAGCTCTTTCTATTATTTTGTGCAATGGTAATAGTTATTCCAAGGATGATTTCTAGGGCCGGGCAAACAGGAGTCAGGTATCTGCTCCTATGGCATTTTAGTTTCTGGAGCCATCCCAAATCCAATCCATGTGCCCTCTTCAGATTTTCGGATTTCCAGGCACACAATGTTCTACCCAGTTATCTTGATGGCCAGCGCAGCTAATCACCTGCTCAGGGATGAATATAAAATATGTTTCCAATAGAGCCATTGCTCTATGACTACCAGTAGTCAAGCTAGCAGGCTTGATCCAGTGAGCAATTGTAATTGCAGGTGAATGTTATTCATTACATAAGAGAATAGCTATTCAAGTTCAAACTCCCTAAAATTATTTCATGAAACTGGGGCATTACAACAAAAGAAAACTAGGGAGAATAAAGTTTCCATGTGTAGCTGTCTCACATTTGAGTCCCAGGCAGCACTCCAGGGCTGGGAATGGGTCTGTTTCATATGCATGTGAATGTGTTAGATGCATCTCTGTAAGATGAAATGAAAGCAGAGAAAACCAGGAAAGAATACACCCGGGCTCACCTTGGTGGCAGGGACAGGGACCGATGTCATTGGAAGGAGTAGGTCATGGGGAAGAAGGAACAAAGGAAAAAAAAAAGAAAAGAAAAGAATGATGAACTAAAGGTAATTAACAAAGGCTAGGATAGTCTGTATGCCTTTATGTGAAATGATCCATATGCGGGTTTATGCATATGGAAATTAAATAACAAGAAGAGATTATTAAGAGGGGACTCTCTTGACTTACCATTGTTACAATAAAAAACAGTGCACAGGCACTGTGAATTCTGACCAGCACAAAACAAAAAAAGAATGAAACCTTGATTGCCGTATGGTAGTAGCTTGGTATCCTACACATTTCTTTTCTAGTAAAATAGTGCCTTTTCTTTATTTATTCTCTTGTTTCTTCACTGAGTCCCTACTAATTCGAAGCAATGTGTTAAGTACAAGGATAAAAAGTTTACTAAGAAATGGTGTCCCCACCCTCTAAGAGTGGTGGGTGGTACGGGACCCTGATGGGGAGAGGCCTTAGAAGAACAGGGTGCAGGAGCAGGCACCAGTGAGCTCGGGGTATGGAGGGCTGGCCAAACACCTGGTAGCAGGGAGCTGGAAAACTACCCATGGTAGGGACAACTTCACTCTACTGTGAAGGCATTAGACCAAACAGGATGTGGCAGGAGAGTCACAGAACAGGAAAAGCATTCCTACTGGAAGGGATTTTATTGAAGGATTATGTAATAGAAGACATGTAGGTCTTATCTCTACCACCTGCTGACTATGCTTAGGGGGTCAGAAATTCAATGCACTAGAACCTACTTGGTCATCCAAAAGTGGGGCAAAGAGTCAAGGGACAGACAATTGAGAGGCTCTGAGCCTGGCCTTTGCAACCAGGCTGCTGGGTTCAAATGCTGGACTTATCGATTACTAGCACCACGGCCTTGGGCAAAAGACTTTACCTCTCTAGAAAGGAGACAATAATGCCATCTGCCATGTAGGGTTGCATTGACAAGAGTTCCTAGTGCATAGATGTTACCAGATAACTTTCAGTTATTGTTATTATTACTAAACCACAGGTTGTTTTGAAGAACAAATGAAGCTGCATTTAAATGTGCTCTGTAAACCATAAAGCACTGAATAAATTGTGATCTGATGCAAATTATACTCAAAGCACAATGATTTTTTTAGAAAGAAGAAAAAAACACACTGCTTTTGCTTTCTCATAAAAGAAAAATTTCCCTTTTAAATAGTGCCAGGAAAATCCTTGGTCACAGATGCTCTTGAATTCAATTTTTCAAAGGTGGTTCAGTTGAAGAGTTATCACTTTGGGTCCTGCTGGCCCATGGTTGACAGAAAATGCAATGATGCTTTCAGCAAGGAGGGGCAGGTGTCTCAATTCAGTCAGAGCTAGGCATCATGAAATGGTTGGGGACCTGGGGAGCTGCCTGCCTCTTAGCCTTCCAGCATCTTCTTTCATGTCTATTTCCCCTCTGCTCCCCATGTCCTGGTAGTCTTTGTCCAGCCTATTCATGAAAACTGGTGTTGATCCTGTTTCTGGGACCCAGGTCAGCACTTTGCACAGCTGGCTTATGGGAGCTCATGCGGGCAGATGAACCAGGAAAAGTTTTAAAACTCTTGGATCTCCAAGAGGCTTTGAATGTAGGTCAGAAGATAGTCTCCTCTCCTGAGAAGCTTTCGCAGCAGATAGGAGATGTTTAGTGGATTGAGCCCCCATGAAACTCATGAGATGAAGGATGGAGGAACGTAGGAAAAGTGCCTCTTCGTATGGGTTGGACTGTGTTCACAAGGAGTTATGTTGAAGTTCTAACCCCTAGTTCCTATGAATGTGACCTTTTTTGGAAATAGGGTCTTTGCAGATGTTACAAAGTTAAGATGAGGCCATTAGACTGGGCCCTGATCCAATATAACTGGTGTTCGTATAAAAGGAAAAGATGGACACACAGGGAACACAGCACGGAGGAGGCTGGAGGCAGAGACTGGAGTGTTGCAGCTACAAACCAAGCAACAACAAAGATGGCCGGCTACCGCCAGAAGCTAAGAGCCCAGGAAGGATTTGACCCGGAATGTCGGAGACACTCTCAGAGAGAGCAGAGCCTCAGAGGAACCCTGCCAGCATCTTGCTTTCAGACTTCCAGCCTCCAGAATGGGGAGAGGATACATTTCTGTTCTTCTAAGCCACCCAGTTTGTAGGTATGTTATTACAGCTGCCCTGAGTCCAGATGCACAGCCCGAATCACCTCCAAGCCCTTGCAAGGAGAGCTAGACCCACCAGACACACCTGGCAGCTGGGGAGAAGTGATTTCTTTAAGACTCAGTGTCCTTCACTGTGAAATGGAATAATACCTCACGGAGTTGTTCGGAGAACTGATGCGGACAGGTTTGCACATCTACAGCAGCCCCAGTCACATGGGAAGTGGCCAAGTGCAAGGTAGAGCCTGTGCTATTTTGCCTCTTGGTCCAATGTCCCTCTTGGCACACAGTTCCATCCTTTAATGCCATGGACAGTGATTATGATGACACCCAGCATAACCCCAGACTCAGAGTAGAACTGGGGTATGGGATTTAAAATAGAGATGGGAGGTCCTGGGAATTTGGGACAGTGTCTCTGTATTGGCAACACTGTTTATACATATCTGAGCCAGAGTTTTTCAGTAATGGGTTGGGCTCTGTGAAATAAATTGGTCCCATTCCAGCCTCGTTGAGTGCCCTGGACTAAAGATGCTCAGATTCCCTTTCCTGACGAGGCGCCAACCTTGACCTTGTCTGTGTCTTACACAGCAAGGAGGGGCTATCCCCATGTATGGCACAGGTGTGCACTGAGCTGTCCAGAAGTTTCACCAGCAGGCTGCGTGCCGGCCCAGGGTATAAGTCAGGTTTGAGGTTCAAAGATACTGGTATGCAGTGGCTTTCCAAAATGATTTGTGCAGAGCTCATTTGTCTTTTAATTTCTGTACCAGTCATGGTACAAGTCACGAGCAACAAACGCTTTCACCTTTGGGAAGATGCCTTTTACATCACGATCATTTTAGTCATTGGAAAACAGGGACAACCAACGGTGCCATCTCACGCCAATACTCAGGAGGTAGAAATAGTATACATACGATTTAATCCTCTGACAGATCTTGGCCAAAAATGGGAGGGAACAAACATCAGAACTACTTCTGGTATGTTTCTGGAGAGGAAAAAAAAAACAAAAACAAAAGGAATTGCTTAGTTCAAGGAATAGTCCTGCAGACTGTAAAGGCCCTTCTTCTCCTGCTGGCTCCAGAGTCTGGATTTCAGGAGCCTCTTTCCTTCAGAACCTGGGCCATCTCATTTAACTAAATTTGCCTCTTGTTTCTGTCCCCACACTCCATCCTCACTCTGGCTCCGTGCCTTTGTTCTTGCTGGGACCTCAGCCTGCAGCAATCCCTTCCTCATGCCGCCTGCTACCCCCACCTTCACCCATGCTCTGCCTCTTTCCAAGAAGGTCTGGCCCACCGTGGTCTGTTCCACTTGGCCAATAACATTCTTCTCGTTCCTTGTAGTCTAGGGCTTTGAGAAAATGTTTGACATAAAGAACATGTTCAAATGAATAATCCCAGCCTATGACGCGAGAAAGTCAAGACTAATAGGAGAGACATGGTCAGGGCTTGGGAAGAAGGAAGGAGGAAGTCCCCTTTCCTGGGGGATGCTGTGGGGGCAGGTGAGGTGTACAGATGAAGCTCCTCAAGCTTCATGAGCAAGGGATTTCAGGGAGCAGTTTCCATAAGACTCTAGCTGTGTGACAAATGAAAAGCCCTGCTTTTTACTGAGAGGTACTTTTACAATGATTGTGGTTTCTATGCTGCTTTCCCCAGAGAAAGACAACAAGGTAGAAAAGTTAGAAACTGGCATTTATCAGTGAAGGGGGAGAGATGGGTGATTTTTGGCAGCCCAAAGAGTCCTTTGGATGCCTATGAGTTGGATCAATAGTGTTGGTGATACATTGACCCTGGCAGAGGAGAACAAGGCAACCTCCTTTTCAGGCTATGAATCAAAGCTGAGCAAACCTTTGTGATGTTTGCTCAACTTTCTAGGATGAGAGGAACAATCCTGATTGGTGCCCCCGTCCATATGCAAGACATGGAGACAGAAGAGGCTGTCCTTGTCCTCATCAAGCTTACTGTCTAGTGGAGTGTAGGGGGGAGTATCTCAGCTCTTAGCATGCTTTGTGAGGTCTGCAGTGGTCCCAGCATTAACACGGCTATTTAGGGATCCAGAGGAGGAGGCAGGAGATGAGCCAGAAGTCACATAGGAAGGATGCTGGCAGGAAGGAAGAGACATCCTAGGCTTTGTGACCCCAAGTGTGGTCCACAGACTTGCTACAGGTACAATTTGAGAGCCCCACCCTGATCTACTGGATTGGAAAGCCTGGGGTGGGTCCTGGGAATCAGAGCCTCCAGGTCATTCTGATGTTTGCTAAAGTTTGGGAACCACTGCTCTAGGCCCTAGCTGATGAAAGCGTGATCACAAACCAGGAGCATGGATGTTGTCTGGGAACTTTTGGAAACGCAGAGTCTCAGGCCCCACAGCAGACCTGCTGAATCAGAATCTATGTTTCATCAAGGTCCCAGGTTATTGGAGCGATTGCTGAAGCGGGAGAAGCATGGGTCTTCACAGAGGGAGCACCAGTGGGGTGCTGTGGGAGTATGAACCGGTGTGGCATCTCAGGGGGCCACCGAGTGTTTCACCCTGGCTGCAGTGTAGCGAAGCACAAGGACGTGGTGACCCATGGAGGGAAAGAGACATCATGACTAGCCTAAGATGCCACAAGTTGTGCTATCCTGTGGGGGACTACTGAAGGTCTTAAGCAGTGGGATCACATTTGTATTTCGGAAAGGTATCCTGGGGGTGAGAGGGTGGCCTGGAGGAGGTGAGCTGGGGCAGAGAGAACTGTCGGCAGATAAAGACCCTGAGACCTGATCCTGGGGTTTCTAATCTCAGCACTAGTGCTATTTGGGGCTGAATAAGTCTTTGTTGTGGGGATATGCTGTGCCTTGTAGGATGTTTAGCAGTATATCTGGTGTCTAGCCATTCAGATGCAAGCAGCCCCAAAATGTCACCAGACATTGCCAGATGTCCTCAGGGGAGAGGTGGGGAGGACAAAGTTGCCACTGATTGGGAACCACTGTTGTAAGGCGGGAGGAGGGGGATGGTGGTGCAAAGGAGGGACATTTAGAAGGTTGAGTCCAGAGACCTGGTAACTGATTGAGATGAGCACTGTAGACACACCATAAAACAAACACCGGCATGAAATTATACCACAACACTGGTGGCAGTTTGGAAATATAGACATATTCTGAGATTCTGAGTTCAAAGGTTGCATTTGAATGTTTGAGCTACGTCTTTGAATATTTGAGTCTGAAGGCCTTGGTCTAATTAACCTAACGACAAGGTAGATTTTAACACTGATGTAACCAACACATCAAAAAAATTTATGTGGACAGCCTTATAATTACTGCACAAGAGGTACAAAAGAATTAAATGTTATAATTGCACAGCCGTTCACTGTTAGGATTCAACTGAAGGCTGCGGCTGTCTCTGACATTCATTGTGCAGAAACTGGGTCTAGGGTGTGGACAATAGATGATGTAGCTTGCCCAGGGACAACCTGCCCCCCCGCCCCCTAAGCTGAACTCCTGTTCAGACAGAGGTTCTAATTATCCAGTCCTTTCATCACATAGCATGGGAAAGACTAACCTCTTATCATTTACTTGCAAAGAGAAATGAGACAGACGAGAGTAATGTTGCAGAAGTCCTCCCTTGCAGTTTACCAGCCCTTTCCTTTCAATCTGAACTTTGCTAGAAGAGGCAAAATGTAGGCTGTTATTGATTCAGCAATGGTTTTTAAAATATTGCACCTGGCGGCATGTAATCCCATTTAAATGAAAGTCTCAATCTGGGCTGTCCCTGGGCACAGGAGTCACGCAGCATCTTCATTTAGCAATCTATTTGAACCAGTTTCTGCTTGTATCCTGAGCTTTCCCACACACCAGGATGTTAAATGAAAACAGAACAATACACAGGGGTTGAATAAAGAAAAAATGTGGTGACTGCGGTAAACAGAAGGTCAAAGGGGAGAGAACAACTACTCTTCTATACACAGCCAAACTGAAGTTGAATTTCTGCATGGTGAAGTACTTTTCAACCCTTGCTATGTATTATTTTACTTGGGTTTAATTGCACTGGGGAAGATGATTCTATTAAGTAGGTAGGTTTTTGATCAGGGATGTCAGGTACAGTTGCACAGGTCATGCACTGCATAATTTTAACCTACACAGCCTGTGATGTGAAATTTAGTCCTTCCTGAAATTTAGTGCTGAGGAGGTCTGGTTGAGAGCTATTGGCATAGTGGAAAAGGTAGGAACTTGGATGTAGCTGGATCGGGATTTAAATGATGGGTTTCTCCTTACTAGCTGTGGGGAATGAGCTCATTACTTAACATATCTGATCTTTAGTCCTCTAGTCTGTAAAATAGGGTTGATAAAAAAAATACTATTTTCTATGAGTTTTTGTGAGAATTAAGTAAAATGATTCTGTAACTCAGGTACTCTAAACCCTTAGATGCTCAGTTTTCGGCTGGATCCATGAGGAGCCTCTCAGGTCCTCACTGAGAGGCAGATATTTTCTGGAACATTCCCTTCGACAATACTTCACTTTTCTCCAGTTTGACAGGCTGTGCTGAAATAACATACAACCTACTGTGTGCTTCTTTCTGCATCCTGGCTAAGTCTGCAGTTAGAGCATCACAATGGAATTAATTGCTGCCAATATCAGCTGACCAGTAACTCAGAGACACTTATTTGCATTTTCCGATTATTTTTAATCTAGAGAGCACATAAATTGGAGGAGGTTTTTGAGGAGTTTTGTATTGTTGTTCGGTAGATTTTTTTTTTTTTTTTTGGCTTCTCACAAGGAATTAGTGGAATCGGGCCCCATGAATGATGCTTGCAATTCTGATGACAGAAATGAAAACTTGTAAAATCCTAATTAGCCTTTGAGTTAATACCAAGGCAGTTTGTGCTAGTGAAGTTAACAATGCTCCAAGAAGAAATTTTTAGATGCACGTGGAGAAGAAGGAAAGAAGAATCGTATTGTTCTCTAGTATTGTTTAGAGTTCTGAAGGTGGTCAATGGTTTCCCGTGGTGTTTCAGTCTCTTGTTCCATGGCTTTGACAGATTAGCTAACCTGCTACTGTTGGTCTTGAATTGCCCACTGAATTAAGTAATGGTTGGCAACACAGACATTGTGATTGATTAATTAATTGTGTAGAAATGCCTGAATATTGCCATTCATTGCACACCAGCCTTGTACATCAAAACCCATATGCCCCCCATAAGTGGGGTTGCCAGATAAAATATGGCACTGAACATACTTACACTAAAAATGTATTCATTGTTTATCTGAAATTCAAATTTAACTGGTCTCCTCTATTTTTATTTGCTAAATCTGGCAAGCTGAGCCACGAGGGCTTTTTCTCCTCCTTATTTCTGTGCTGCCAAATCAAGATTACATTAAATGTACTGCGTCAGGGTGAATGATGGGCAGGGTGATGAGGAAGAGGACAAAGACCATGCCCTCTCATCTCTGATGAACTCTTCCTTATTGCTGGGATCTTTAGCATGGAGGGAGACTTGGTCCTCTGAAGGTTTACTTTTTCTGCTTCCTGTTCAGTTGGGGCTCATTTGCATCCAGAGCCTAAGTCAAATACTTGACTCCATGATAACTGTTTGAACTAAACATGGTATTGACTCAGTGCTGGGTAAGCACTTGACACGCATCCATTCTTGGTCTTCACAGCCAAGGAGCTTTGACAAAGGAGCACTACCACTGTCTCTGTCTTGCTGACAGGAAAACGAGGCTCAGCCTGCAGTCACACATTTAGGAAGTGGAGGGGCAGGAGGATAAAGCCTCCTCCAAAATGGTCTACTGAAGAGTAGCAGTCCTCACCTGTGAGTATCAGAGGACATTTGGCAACATCAGGAGACGTTTTTGGTTGTCATGACTGGGGAAGGGCGATGTGGTTGCTGGTATCTAGTGGGTAGAAGTCAGGGATGCTGTGATACCTTCCAGTGTACAGGACAATGCCCACAACCAAAGAGTAACTAGCCCCAAATGTCAGTACTGCCCAGTTTGAGAAACACTGCTGTCGAGAGAGGGAGGAGAAAAAGGGGGGGAGGGGCTCACTTTCCTACTTAACTTCACTGCCGTTATGGTATGCTGTGGGCTTGGATCCAGAGTCGCTCCTGGCATTAGGGGTGTGAGAGCAGGGGCAGGGGAAGATGAAGGCGCCAAGTGGAACACTGGCATTCTTCTCATCCGTTGCTTACCAGAGTTGGGGATTTCTTCAAAATCTGTCTCGCCTTCTTTAGTGTAAATTTCCACGGCTCCTATAAAAACAAAGTTAGACAATGTTACAGCTTGTGTCTCACTCTTCTTTCTATGTCTTTTCTGAAGTTAGAATCTTTTAAAGTCCGTAAATTTGCAGTAAAGAAGTTATTCCATAAATCTGTGAGAAAATAATTCGCAGGAAGGCAATTTCATGCTAATAACTCTTTATTAAGGGATTTACTCTGTGCCAGATGCCGGGCTAAGTACTTTGCAAACAGGATCTTATTTAATTTTCACAACAGCTGAGAGTCAACCTTTTTATAGATGAGGAAATTGAGACACAGGAAATCTAAGAAACTGGCTGAAGATCGCAGAGCCAGGGTCTGGCAGAGACCCATTCTGAACTTCTGCCTTCCCACCTGCTCTGCTACACAGAGGTCTCTAGGTACATTCTCCTTGTGTCTGGAAACCCCACGGCAGGAGGTGGCCAACAGCTCACCTGAGTGGTGACTGCTCCCACACAAGGTAACACCCCATCTCCCATTCACCAACTCTTCTGGTTCTACATCCCCATTCTTTCAACCATGGCTAGAGCATCCAGGTGGATCTTCTTAGTTCACATGGCAAGAGTTAGGCATAAAGAGTTAGGTGATTATGACCAATGACTATTGTTACAGAATTCCATATTTGTATACTTGTGAGCAGTTTGGGAGGAAAGTAACCCTGGGGGAAGGGGGTGTGGAGTATTTGCTCCCAGCACTGCTTCCCAGATCTTTTGTCCTCCCCTTATGCCCCAACACTGCCACATTCTTCCTCATGTTGCTCTAAGACCTAGGAGAGCCTGGGGGATGGTTTGCACATCTGGGCTCAAACCCCAGCTCTGCTGTGCAGTAGCTGTGTGTCCTTGAGCAAGTTACACTCTGAGTCCTTCAGTATCCACAGACTTACTTCTGTAACATATAAGCAAGCCCTATTTTTAACAACTGTAACATGGGGATGATATCCACCGCATAAGGGTGCCATGAGGATAACAGAACATCATTCATGTAAACCCCCAGCTTAATAATTGATGGGTTGGTTGGACAATTTCTGTTTCAGCCCCAAATTTCCCCTCACGCAAATCAGTAGGGAAGCTGGGATTGTGGGAGAGTGCCATAGTTCTCATTCTAGGAAATTGAGAACATTGTCCCCGCATTTAAGCAGAAAGAAAGGGTATGGGAATGGGACTTCGGAGCTGGCTGTCAGCAGAAGAGGTCTCCTGGGAGATGTGACCACTGCTGCTAATGGGTGTTCAGGATGTGTGTTCTTCACCTCCTCCTCCCCGGGGAGATGCCTTCCTCCATTATGGAGCTCTGTGCTATTCTGAAGACCTCAGCCATGTTGAGTGAACATGGGTGGAGGAGTGGCCGCTCAGTGTGAGCTTGGGTTGGAGCCAATTTTCCGGCAGATGCTTTAGGAAGGAGGACAGCAGAGCCAGCCCACAGCTTGCCCTCTATGGGCTGGCTCTGAAACCCTCTGCCTGGCTTCTGCCCCAAATCACACTCCTTTAGCTCAAATTCAAAGGATGATAACCCATGGCTCTTCTGTCAGAGGCAGCAGGACCGTTGACATCTAAGAGTGCATGTTAGCAACTCGAGAAGAAAAGCTACTCTCCAGCTCAGTCTGGCCACCAGGATGCCCTGGTACAGTGTGTGTTTCTTAAAACACTGAAACACGAATGTGCCAGTTGGTGAACAATCATGTACCTGAGCCCTTGAGTGTCCCCACCACGGGCCTGGCCATACAGCCTTGCCCGAGGACTCCCAGCCTTCCTTATGATCAGTCCACAAAGGGGCCAAAGTCATGATACAGCCTCAGGGGCACCTGTAGACTGGGCTCCAACACCACACCCAGTGTCCAGTCTGACTGGCTGACAACAGTCCCCAAACAGTTCATTATAATCCTCACTTTAAGAACCTAGATCCGTGAATGCAATTTTGGCTTTTTCTGGAAATTCTCACAAATCCTGGAAACTCTCCGGCAAGTAAGCCTCTCTGGCAGAGTCATTAGAAGAAACTAGATCTAGGTGTAAATTTCTGTCATGGTGCCCTTTTTGGCGGCTCTCATTAGCCTAAAACTCATTCTCCACAATACTGTAACATGATGTTGGTGCCCCCCTGCCTTAACCATGTACCCACTGCTTCTCTGCTTGGAAATCCCCCTTTCACTCTAAAACCCAGCTCAAACACCTGAAGGGCCCAACACAGTCCTTGCTACATACTAGGTGCTCAACGGATATGGAAATAAAAAGAAAACATTCATGATAGTATGTTAACCAAGGAAAACAGTCCACCAGATACTACACACACAGAAAAAGAAATCCTGCAAAGAAATACGCCATGATAATTGTGGGTGACAACGGTTTTCCTTTTGGTTCTTTCTTGTGTTTTCTAAATTTCCAATAATGAGCACAAATTCGGCAATACATGCTTTTTAAAAAGAATTCAACATATGTTGCCCTGTTTCTTCCCGAAGAAACAAAATCACGCTCCCAGCACAGGGCCGCAGAGTGAGAACCCCGGAGATCTGGTGCGAAGAGACATTCCTGCCCTCCCAGGGCTTCCAGGCTGCCGAGGAGACAGAGTAGGAAGGAGCGGAACAAGCAGAAGCGAGAAGGATGGTGAGGCCTCAACAGAGTCTGTGTAGGACAGGCCACTTGGATCCCCTTGAGAGAAATAATTTGCGTTTCATCCAGCTTGGTTCTCTGAGGGGACCCACATGTAGCGAGGGATAAAGACAAGCAAGCAAAACAAACACACGAAAAGCCCAGTGATGAGGTTCTGCACCAAATGCTTTCTGACCCCCACAGTGCAACGTGTGATAATGTTTCTGTCACCCTCCCTGGAAGGCCAAGGGCAGCTTTGCCAGGACCTGGCTTGACCAGAGCACCACTTGCTCCCACAGTTCAAGTGCACAAATGCCAACATAAAAAAGAGAATCTGGATACCAGGCCTGATCTTTTGTCCCCAGAAGAAAATGGATATAAGGATTCAAAGATACTTGGAGGGGCGCCTGGGTGGCTCAGGTGGTTAAGCGTCTGCCTTCGGCTCAGGTCATGATCCCAGGGTCCTGGGATTGAGCCCTGCATTGAGCTCCCTGCTCAACGGGAAGCCTGCTTCTCCCTCTCCCTCTGCCTCTCCTCCTGCTCATGCTCTATCTCTCTGTATCTCTCTGTCTCAAATGAATAAATAAAATCTTTAAAAAAATTTAAAAAAAAGATAGTTGGAAAAGTTGATTTTTTGCTTGTGATGACAGGCGAATGGGCAAATTGTTAGCACCGTGCAAATGAAAATAACTGCTCTCTCTGCTCAGTAACATTTCACTGTTGGCAATCTGGTGTTTAAGGCAGTGCTTCTAAAGTATGAGGACCACTCTTGTATCCTCCAAAAAATTGAGACTTCAGTGGAGGGCGCAACTGTAATCAGGGGTTGAGAGAAAGTTTGGGGATAGATAGTGAGCTGGATATGAACCCCTTCTAGTCGGAAGTGACACTGGTGTTTATGACTCAGCTAGAGCAATCATCTAAGGCATAAGCAGATTCTCCATCAACAATGAGGGGGCTTGGCTCTGGAGTGCTCATTTGATCTGCAATTTGCTATGGTTGACTCTTTCCAGTTTCTCATTACTTTCTCCCTCCGGTTATAGTGTGTCCTTATTCCAGCTTCAAATCCTCTTCAGGGTTTCTTTAACATTCTCATGAGTGGATTGCCAAGGAGGCCCCCACACAGGCTTACAGAGAGATAAGCCCTCAGCATGGGAGCTTAGAGTCCCAAGAACCATGGATATGTAGAGTGTGTTTCTTTACTCATGAACTTGGAAAATTCCAAGGACAATATGGCACGGTGTCCCAGCAGGCTGCAAGAGGGGGAGAGGTCGACACTTTGCTTGATCATAGTACATAGTAATAACATATATCTATGGTAGTTTGCAGAACACTTCTGTCTAGAATGATTTAAGTATTCATCCAGACCAGAACCAGCCCAAAGTCTTCGGACAAGAGGAGAGGTTCGGTGACTACCAATCTTCAGTGGAAGATATTTAAATGTTTTATTGATTGCTAGGTCATGGTCTCCATCATCATCTTCTATTTAAAATGAGTTTGGACTCCAGAGAGCTTGCGCGTTTGGATACTAGCTTTGTCATTCACTAGTTGTGGGACCTTGGGCAAGTTACTTAAGCACTCTGAGACTCACTCTCCTCATCTGCAAAATGGGGATAATAATGTGTGTGTGTGTGTGTGTGTATATATTGAACAAGACAGCACTTGGAATAGTGCCCTGCGTATAGTAAACATGACATCAGTGTTAACAGCAATTGATGGTTTTGAGTTGTTATGTCACCAACACATAGCTGGAAAAATTACAGTAATTATAACATCAGCCTACAAAAATGTATGCTGTATTTTTTTTAAAGATCTTATTTATTTGAGACACAGAGATAGAGAGAGCATGAGCAAGGGGAGAGGCAGAGGGAAAGGAAGAAGCAGGTTCCCCGCTGAGCCAGGAGCCCGATATGGGGCTCGATCCCAGGACCCGGGGATCATGACCCGAGCTGAAGGCAGATGCTCAACCATCTGAGCCACCCAGGCGCCCCTGTAGGCTATATTTCAATGCTCTTGAAAACTACTCTGAGTGGAAAACGGAGAGGTTACATAATGTAAGCAGGCCACTCTGCAAACAGCTGGTAGTACTCAAGTCTCTAGACTCCCAACACCTTTTCCACCATGACCACACTGCTTTCCAAGAACAAAGTAAGCCTGAAATTTTAAAATATGACTTCCAAGGTTTCACCAGGGCTTAAGGAAATGGCAAGGGGAATTCACATGGAATGTGGATGGTTTAATGCAAAGGATCACAGGATCAGGGGAGAGAACTGGATCTGTATGCCAACAACCTATGCACCTGTGTGGAAATGCAAGTACAAGCATAGTAGCCAGTGTAGGACTGATCATGAGAGGGAAAGAGTCATTCAGTCAGTCATTTCTTTGTGCATTCGTTCATTCTTTTCATTCATTCCACAA